CCGTGTCTCTATAATTCTGCTGCCACTCCGACGATCATCAGTTAACAATAAACGTTTGTTCTTTTTCCTAACAATAATACTTACTTCATTCGTTTCATTTATTATACAATATATGTCCGTTTGACCAACGAAACAACCAACGTGTTAAATCCCACGATTTGCGAAATGTTTAATCGCAGGAGAAGTTTGTAGAACACAAAGTTTAAACAAGCTTTTTTACTTTACTTTATTTTATTTTTTATTATATAATAATTATTTATTATATTTATATTTAATATAATATATATTTATTATATTTATATACATATTATATATATAATATATATTTATTATATTTATATATATATTTAATATATATAATATAATATATATTTATAATATTTATGTTATATATATAATCTGGCCAGCTGTAGCCGTTAAAGAACGACGAATAGTTAAGTCCTAGCATATGACTTTAATTAATTTATCATATTTCCCGATCGATATGAATAGACAGATACGTGTCTGACGATGTTTTTGCTAGAAAACGAAACCGTTACTCCGTGTTTATCAAATCAGATCTCTCATCTGGAAAGCCTCTTGACAGGTCTAGCTAATAAAGAGAACGATAGATTCGAAGATTGCAGTCAAGAACGATTCAAAATTAACTTACACAATTAAATACGTTTCTATAAAGAGCGGGAGAACATTAGATATACAGTAAATTCTCCCTAATCGACGATTGCCCATTAATTGACTAATTGCCCAATCGATTGTGCAGAAAAATGGACAATTTGGGAAGGGGAGAGACACGATTGTTGGAACCTCGCGGCTCGTTTTTTATAGTTGTTGACAATCGGTAACTACGTAAAAGAACCGCAAAGCTCGTATAATAATTGAATTAAAAACAATATAATACGCAAATAATAAAATAAATAATACGCAATCTGAGCGATAATTAGGCAGAATTTCCTGTACATGGCCGGCAGTGTATGCAAGGGTGTAAAAAGAAGTTGACTGGCAGTGTTCCGTTGTATGACGAAATCTTTATAAATCAAGCGAGGAAATACGATGTCCTCGATTCAAACATTGCTGGCCGCCCACGTCCCTAGAAAGACGAAACTTGCCAGATGTGGATAACCCAGGGACCGAAGGCCCAAAGAAATAGCTTATTTTATACACTTGGACAAAACAACCGAATTTCCAGACCACCCGTAGTAAGCAATTTCGTTAAAAGCCGTTTCCATCCTCTATCAATATCAATTTCTATAAGCAAGTTAATTAACGGGAAAGCGCAAGAAAATGTCTCTTTACTGTTGTAATATTTATACAAACATATATATACAAATTATTATACAAATATAATATATATTTTATATATATATATATATATATATATATATATATATATATATATATATATATATTTATATTAGTATATGATCATTATATCCTAAGAAAGGTACAATGGTTCGATCGACTTTTTCAGCTGAACTTTCGAGCTCAAAACTTTTGAGCTTTGTTTTTCCCTTTTTGCGTATTGCGTTACACACACATTTGCATTTTTCATGAAAATTAAGTTGCTCACATGGAATTAAAAAAATAAACGTTTCTGTTCCGTTGTATAACGGAGCAATTTCGTTAAAAGTCGTTTCTGCCCCCTACTCAAGTATTTCCTTCATGATCCACAGTTGGTCACCAAATGTCATTTCCCAGTCGTTTTTTTTATGCTATGCATGTTCCACCGAGAAAAGGTATTTTCCGGACAATTGTTTGCTACGGCTAATTCTTGGGACACTCGGATTCTTCGTGTGCGTCACCCAAGGGTGCGAGCACTACCTGCGG